CACGATGTTGAGCCATCCTCGAGCACAAGCTTCGTGCAGGGCACAGTAACCTGCGTTGTCACGGTGATTCACATCACAAATCTTGTTCTCCAGGCAGTACAAGACCACTTCCTGTGGGGCGGAGATGGGAGACACCACTGGATCACCACAGTGACCTCACCAGGGGAGACTGTTTTGCAGTACTCGAAGACTCACACCCCGGGGCCCCAGAACCCACGGCGGCTTGGCCAGTTCGGGGATGGTGTCATCCAGGGCTCTGTAGCCACTGACTTTGAGACCTGGCTCCGAGCCAATGATGCTTCAACTTTTGCAGTCTCCATTTCCTCCTCTGAAGGAGCCCACACCCAGGGCGGTGAGAGGGTATAAGCAGACTCACAAAAATTCTTAGCCTAAGCAAGGCCTGGGTTTCTACTGCACTACACAGTTCTTTCTTTCTTTTGGTACCGGGAATTGAATCCAGGGATGCTTGACCACTGAGCCACATCCCCAAGCCTTTTTTTATTTTAAATTGAGAGACAGGACCTCACTGAGTTGCTTAGGGCCTTGCTAAGTTGCTGAGGCTGGCTTTGAACTCAGGATCCTCCTGCCTCAGCCTTCTGAGCCCCTGGAATTACACACAAAAAAAATCCTTATCCCAGTTTCCAGCATGAGGTCAGAGGGATTCAGCTGCTACCATTTCAAACAAAGCATTAGCTGGTATAAGGGCATTCTCATTTCTCAGGCCACTTAACCGGCAGGAATGGGGGGCACAAATCTAGATGAAAAGTGGGATGAGACAGGCACAATGGGGCACGCCTGTACTCCCAGCGGTTTGGGAGGCTGAGGCAGGAGGATCACGAGTTCAAAGCCAGCCTCAGCAACCATCAAGTTACTCAGTGAGACGCTGTCTCTAAATTTAAAAACTTAAAATAGGGCTGGGATGTGGCTTAGTGGTTGAGGGCCCCTGAGTCCAATCCCTGGTACATACACACAAACAACAACAACAACAACAACTCCCCAAACCAAGATGACCAAGGCAGAACATCCCCCCAACACAGGAGGTTAACCAGGACAGAAGTGTGTTCATAGGTTCAACAGATGGCAGAGGGTGTGTCTAGCGTGCTCAAGGCCTCGGTTCCATCCCCAGAACCTTGTGTGGGGGGGATGACATAAAGGCTTCACACAGCCCCACCCCCCACCTTCCTCCACTGTCCCCCCACTCTGGGCTGGATCAATACAATATTTTCTTATTTACTTAAGCTAACGACAGGAATCTGGTAGACCATCGATGGCATCCTACACATTTCCAAAATGAAACAAAAACGAGCCTCCCCTCCCCCCTGGCAGAACGTGCTCTGTGTCAACAGTTTGCATGAGAATCACTGGTATTAATCTTCCCTCTTTGGCGTGTTAAAATATTAATATGAACCGCTCCCAGTAAGCCGAGCAGTAATTTATGCAATGCTTTATTACCTTGATTAAGAAAGTTTTAAAAAACACTGAACACTATCTGCTACCAGAAATCAGGTTTCAGTATTTCCTGTCGCGCCATGCCCAGCGGAGAGCTGGCAGGGACTGAGAATGGGGGCGCGGCAGAGCATGGGGGGGCCTGGGGGGGGGGGGCCGTGGTCTCTCTTAAACTCTTAGGTCACTCATCTGTAAGGCCACCCAAGGATGTGAGGTGCGTTCTGGAAAACCTTTTAGGCCCTTTTCTAAGACAAGCCAGTCAAAGGCGAGGGCTGGCTTGGGTGCTAACTAGAATGTTCTAGACCCCCCCCTCCCATATGAAGCGAAGGCTGCACACACACTGGCCAACCTGGCCACCCGTGCCCTGTTGCTTCAGGTCACTGTGACAGCTCCCTTCCCGAGCAAGAGGAGGAGGAGCCGAGGCGTGCCCACGGAGGCATCTTCCTTGGCGACCTAACCTGCCAGAAAGCCCACAGTCCTCTGAGCTCCCGGGCCACCTGCCCCAAGCGCTGGTATCCAGGATACCGCATGAAGCCGCTGCTCTTTTAGCAGGCCCTCCCGAGCCGGCCTCGAGTGGATGGCTGCAAGCTAATGAGTTGTGCGCCCCAGCCAGGGAGAGGCCCCGGCAGGTGACCCGGGAGCAGTTCTGAGCGCGCCGACCGCTGTGCACAGATCAATTTCCGTGGGTCCCGGCGGCCTGCCTGGTGTCCTCCCAACCCGAGGGTTATTTGTTCTGACAATTATGGCCTTCACCTGGAAACCTTCACGGCCACTAGGGCTGATGGGAGGGAACCTCCAAGCAAAGGGCCCCGGAGCCGAAGGGAACGCAGCTGTTCCTGGAGCCATCCCCAGTCCGCTGGGAAGCACTACAAGGCACAGCACTGCCCCTCTGCCCTGGGTGGCCCACAGCAACCTCAGCGCTCAGGAAGAGGAAGGGGAAGGGCTCCTGCTACACTCGGGAGACTGAGTTAACCCCAAGTTCAATGAGCATGAAGCCCTGGGTCTGGCACTCAGGCCTTCCGCTACCTGGTCTGCTGGGGAGACTCCAAAGGCCCAGCCAAGGGCCAGGATAGAGAGCTGGGGTCCAGCTGTGACCACCATCCCTCCGACCCCGTCTATTGGGGTCAAGAGGGCTAAAGGTACATTCCTAGCTGGCTTCAAAGATGGCGCGACCGCTGTCACCAACACAGAGAGTGGCGAAGACGCAGGACCAACGGTGCCTACCCGCTACATTTCTTGGCTCCTTTTCTATGCTAGAAATGGGAACCAGGAAGGCAGCCCTCCTGTTCCCAAACAAAATCAAACTGTTTTTGTTGGACAATTTTGTTAAGCAGCTATAAGCCGAATGCCATTAACCGCAAAATGTAACCATAAAGGCCATAAACCCGACATTGTTAATTAATTAAATGCCTCATTAACTTTTTTAAAAACATGATTTATTCAATTCATAGAAAATTTAACCACCACCACTAAATGCACAAGCAAGTGGTTAAACACTGGCATTTGAGTCCCAGAACCAGCCTCCCCAGCGGGAGGGAGAGGTTCCAGGGGGTCTGGTCTTTCCGGAGGCCTAGTTAAGACCGGAAGGGAGAGGACGGTTCTAAGGAGCCAGAGGAACAGGAGGAAAGCTCCATTACCTTTTGGATTCCTGGGGGTAGCTTTTATGCAAAGTGGGAAACATAAGACCCTTGGGAAACCACTCCCAAAGCTAGGGTTCCAAAGGCACCTTACCCCAGGAAAGGGGTATGTAAATGGCTTCGTGGGCATGGCCCAATTCTGCCTCACAAATCAGGAGAGAAGCTTTATCTAGTAGTTAAAACAATTGGCAAGAAGAAGGGTGACCTGTGACATTTACATACTGCAATTTACATTTGAAGCGGGTGGGGAGTTGTCCTTATGCAAACATTCCCAAGGCCATCAAAGGCTCAGTAGCCTAAAAAGTGTAGTTCAAGTTCTCCTTGGTCTAGGCCCTCAAACCTACCCACTGGAAGTAGGAAAGCTGTACCTCAGAGGACACAGAAGGGGTGAGACTGGAGCAAAAGAAGCCAAGATCAAAGGTCAGGCCAGAAACACCCCACCCCACCCCAGGGACACAGGCTCTGGCTGCCCTCCCTCCCTCCCTCCCCGTCAGTGCTTGTGGGAAGCACAAGTCACAGTCAGTGGTGGGTGGCCTTGCTCCTAGGAAGGCAAGGCCTGGCACCTGCCCTGTTCTCCTAGCTCAGCTTGTGGGGGATGGATTGGTTGCCACTCAAATTTAATCCACAAGCAACTGAACTAGTTACCAAGTCCTTCCAGAGAGTTCTTGCCAAGATCATCCAGACATTCCCAAAGAGACAGGAGGTACAAACAATGGCACATACACCCCAAGACACCCTGCTGGCACTTCAAAGGACTGTCCCAGAGGTGAGGACCAACTTCCAAGTTCCTACCCTTTCAGCCATGCCTCTGGGGTAGGCTCTAGGTCAAGGGGTGACCTGTGGCTTTGGTGAGCCCCAAGAAAGTTCCAGGAGCCAGGTGAGGTGGCGCATGCCTGTG